GCACAGATTGGCTCTAAAGTGCTGTGCTCAGTGTTCCATTGCTTCCGAGCTGAGGACGACCAGCTTAGAGTCAGGGCCACTTGGCATCTGCTTGGCATTGCGGAAACTAAGCATGTGGTGCTTTGTCCAAGTGTGCCGTGCCAACCTGTAGAAATGCTGGCCCTCAGCCCAGGACTTCCAGCATTGCCAGCGCGACACTGTTGGCAAGACTTCCCGTGACTATATTTGCGATTGCACTGGCAGGTGTGCGGAGAAGCTGTTTCTGCGGGTGGCCTGTTGATGCATAATATACATAATGGGTTGCGCGCTTCGCAACTTCAAGGCACCCCCTAGAAGGCTTGGCCAAAGTTCTTCTGCACCGCATCCCTGCTCGAGGTGCCTTCCAGTCCAGTCGAGCAATTTGAGTTTGTACGTGCAGTAGCATAGTAGCTCGAGCTCATGTTCACATGTCGCATTGGCAAAGCCTTTGGCGACTCTCAGCTAATGGTTCAACGCTTCAGATAGCGGATAAAGCATGTCCCTGAAACAAGCCACATAGTGCTTGGATGCAGGAAGTGCTTCACAGTTTGAAACTTGCAGAGGCTTGTTTTGTTTGAGCCGTCCTGCAGAAGCAAGACGACTGGCTGCAGCCAACAAGTTTGCGCCCGACACGTCGCCTGGAACCTCTGCTCACTCGCATTGCTGCTGCAAAAAGGCGACCTCGACAGTCTGATCAGGCTTGCTAGCCGCTAGCCGTGACTAGCCTCTTGCAGGGTGTGTTTAGCCACACACAGACTTTACAATCAGAGCACATACAGACCAGCAGCACCCTCCTGGACACAGGCGAATTCGTATACGGGTGAGTTGTTGTGTTTCGTGAGGGTAGACCTATGCAGAAAGCAAGGCCGGTATGCAGAAAGCAAGATCGGTAGGCATGCATGCATTCACACAGAACGAACATGAACAAACAACCACTCTGTAATAAAGTTGTGCATACAGTCATACAGTGTATAGCTGCACCCGTACACACACAATGACAGGTATACGGTATACCTTCATCGTACACATATCGAGGTGCAAAGTACCGGCATAGATGTACATGCTCTTTTGCTTTCGCGCTCGAAGGCGCTGATTCGAGGTCGGATGCAGCCTATCATAACATGCGCATAATTAAATGCTTGCGAAACTCAGACGGGGGCGGAAGGTACTCTGTGACTCCTGCGGACCGGCCAGCACAGAAATCAGCCCTACCTAGAGCTTGGTCCCACGGCCCTGGCGAAGGAGAACAGCCAAGGAGATTTGCCCGGCCGACTGAAGGATCGAAAAAGCCGTCTCCATGACCAGCACTCAACACAAAGTCCCCCATGAATCACCACGAATGGGCAAAAACGAAGCACTGGGCTTCAACAGGATATGTGTGAGCGCGCCTTGGAATAGAACATCCTTAGCCAACATGGCAAGCAGCTCGGAGCCAAACAGGATGATCCTGGCCACTGGCAGCTCAACGAAGGCCAACTCGGAGAAGGGCATGGCACCAGATTCCCATAGAACTCGGAAGGGTTAGTTAAAACTCCGTCCAGCAGCATAGGATGCAGCGAAGGCTATCCAAAGCCGGATCCTGTTGCAATCACACAGTGGGGCACATGCATACCCAGACCACTCTCGCGGGCAAAGTTACTGAAGATCTAGCCAGCGAATGTGATGTGTTCCGAAGGCTCTTGTCCGTGGGGTCGAAGATCGTGCGGCACTGACTTGTCGTGTGCCACATCCCTCGTGGCGCTCATGTCGGCCTCTGTTGCCAAACACTGCTGACAAAGAGGCTCCCATATCCGTTGCTACTGCGCGGCGAAGCCAATGTGATCATGCAGCTCCGTGAAAAGCGACCGCTCACATCGGTCGCTGATAACAAGGTCATCCGGACGTTGCTGGCCGCTGTCCCTCTGCTCGGCGCTAAGCGTATTCCCGTACGGGCCTTCGCAAAGCACTGTCACCCTCCGACCTCATGCAGAGAGCCCCTCATCATCACACACATTCAATGGTCCGCACTCCCACTCCACATCAAGAGCCTGATTCGCACACAACCGTCGTAACATTCAGAAACCTTTCGTCAGCGCCGACCACCGCATGGTGACAGCAATACTCCCAACACCTATCTCTGGCAGGGCCCGTATGCCCGCGATCTATCAAACCCGTGCCATCCAGGTCGAACCACCCTTCAACTTGATCCGGGTACCGTCCGCAATGGCAAAAATCAATCAAAGTGGGTAGTGCAGACCTTCCGCTCGCCACCTTGTCATAGGAGGGCCACTGCCGCACGTTCTGCACCTCTACTCTTTGACGGCGTACCGTTTGCCACGCCCCATGGCAAACAAGGTACTGGGGGCTCTACGAGAGTCAGTCCCAGCTACTGGCGATTCGGGCCCCTACATGTATATATATATATATATAATATACTCTTGCAATATGATATATCATACATGATATAGCACAATGTATCCCAATACAATGCTTGACCATATTGGCCAACATAGTACAAGAAGTTTCACTGCATTACAAACAAGGTCAAGCCGGGAACCCAAAAGCCAGACCCTCCAGAGCTCCCCACCCGTCCGCGTCTTCGTCCAGCCGTGTCCTCCCGCGAACGCTCGACACCCAGAGCTCCCCACCCTTCCCCGTCCACGGCCGCGTCCTCCAACGAATGCTCCATATCTGGAGCTCCCCCAATCGTCCCCGTCCACGTCCCTCCCCAACGCTCGGCACCCCCACCCGTCCCCATCCGCGCTCGCGTCCTCCCGCGAACCCACGAACGCTCGCCACTCAGAGCTCCCCACCCACCCGTCCCCGTCCGCGGCCGCATCCTCCCGTGAACGCTCACACCCAGAGCTCCCCACCCGTCCCCGTCCGCGGCCGCGTCCTCCCGCGAACGCTCGGCACCCAGAGCTCCCTGTCTGCGGCCGCGTCCTCCCGCGAACAAATTATACTACAATGCAATAAAACACAATACCTAACATGATGCATCAAGATATCGCACGACATAATATAACAGGCTAAGCTTATGAACACTTATAACGTGATATTATATGATATAACCCGATATCATATTACCCATCAGATCAACCATCGTATCACAGGTATGATATATCATATAAAACTCTAGTATAGTACACTAGAACATGATATTGAATGACGTTCATATCTCCTTATATCAGTCTAGTATAACCTATAATGTGATACAGTGCAATATACTATACTGGCCAATTTCCAGCGACGTCACCCGAAAACCGTCACCCTCCCTCGGCTCCCTTCCAGAAGCCCAAAGAACCCAACGCGAGCCTGGTTCACATGAAAGTTTTGGCTTGACAAGTCAAAAAGCCGCAAACGAGCCTGTTTCAAAGGAACAGGTTTGTTTCCGTGCTACAACTAGCTTGTTTCAATGAAACAGGTCTAGTTGGATTCAAGATTGTTTAAGTAGCGACCCAGCCCGATTCGACCTGCCTTCGAATTGGAGAATGAAATTATTTTAAATTGGGCATCAATCAACACATGATGGGATAAGATGGCACAATACAACAGAATGTAGTGCAGTCTCATGCAACACAGCATAATCTACTATACACTCCTAACACAAGGTAACACAACATAGTTATAGAATGACACCCAATGCTACGGTATAACCACACAGCGGTATAACATAGTCTATTATAAGAAATAACATAACATGACCTAACAAAACATAGCATAATGTCATCATACTGAGTTTCAACAAGACATACCAGAATAGACGTATTATGTGGTGCTGCAGGATTTTGAATCATACTGCTACAATAAGTAGCACCTCAAAGCCAAGTGTGACATAGCACAATGCATCTCAGCATAACATCATGAACTACAATGTGCCAAATCGTATTTCATCTTGCAAATACATGGTACTACATTACTATACGATGTAGTACTGTATGACTTATAATGCAATACAATAAGAATGTTAATATATTGCAATACCATGTAACATGACAGAGGATGGAACACACATGTCTAGATATATATACGCACATGCATATCGCAGTGTAATATAACATACGACATCCCTCACAGAACACAAATGATGTAGTACAACATATCATAGCACAACATGGTACCAATAAAGCTGGAAATAATGTACTATTCTGAGGTTTGATACAATTCTGGACATCGTACTATACCGTACAGTACAATGCAACATGCTATGACACAGCATGGTATAATACTGTATACAATATATGAAAGTAGTTCACACCACTGCATATCAGACAGTAAGATTTAACATCATTTAGTAAGTTATAGTACCATGCAAAATCACACACAAAATCTCAACATAACCGGCCACACAAATTCAATGTGGGATAACGAAGTAAAGTATAGTGTAGTATATTGTAATATATTGTCGTACGATCACTATAGCACAGACATGATTCATCATAGCTTCATCTAGCGTACTACACTTTAATGTACTATGATACAACGCAGTAGAGTAGAATAGAATAGGAAGAAGCGCAGTACAATATACCGTAACATACATGCTGTGTGTAATGAATGGTACATGTGCAGCCGGAAAGTGGCACAAACAGGCGGACACGGATTCTACTCTTTTGGCAAGCAGTGCATTAACATTAGGGGGGTGCATCTGGTGCTGGGCAAGCCCACCTGCTAAAGCCCAAAGATCTGTTCTAGTGCATCTTTAGATCAGTAAGTAGCAGCGTGGCTAAACATATCTTAACTCTCCCAGCAACAGAAGCAGTGTCGCTTCGTGTTCAATCTGCCAGGTCCACCGGACGCACCAGCTGGAGAATCCGGTGAGCCTGAAATTTGACCAGACGCGGTCGAGCAGTGCTCAACGCAGCATTGGAGGATTCTCTGCATCGATTCACTTGTTGCTGAGAGCTGGCCAAAAATGCCGGAGCCTGGATGAACACAAGATGATTTCGCAGAAGACTTCTCAGTTCGATTATGACACATGTGAGAGATCCTTGCCACGATCGCAGGTCGATGCCACGAGCCTTCAAGGCTCACAAAGGGCTTCTGGTGGGATGCTGCTGGCACTGCTGGATGCTGTGTAGTAGTATGATTTACGACCAAGGAGCATCAAGGTGCTTCCAACCGAAGTGCATCCAGGCAGGGGGGGCTGCGAGCCTGAGAATCGGCAATGAGAGCCTTTGAACGAACAGGTTGCCTTTAAGTATCAGCCCCTCTAGGCACGACGCACGGACACTTCCTCAAACTGGGCAGTCTATGTGAAGGTTCGTAGTACTAATTAGTCATGAGTGTGGTGCGAATGTATCCGGAGAGAGAGAGTGGCAAGCCCGAACGTTTGGCATGTTACACAGCACAGAATGGCATATAGTGTTGTGTGTTTGCAAGGTTTTGTCACTTTTTGACACAGCGAAATTGAAACTGTCCGTGCACGCCGTCCTCACAGAGGCTCTTCGTTCCTTCAGGGGCGTCGTGAGGAGAGGGGAAGAGCACATTAGTCGAAAAGCGAAGTACGCCGATGGCCTTGTATCGCAAGATATCGCAAGGCCAACGAGACCGGCAAGCGATGCCGCACGCAATGCAGTGCATGACCGTGCTACTCTCAGAAACTTTGACAAGTATAGGCTTGAGCTTCCGCACTCTTCACTCGCAGCGCATGCGGCGCCGCATGCTGGCGGCATAGCTGTCGTGTGCTGCCGGGGGCCTTGTCCAGACACAGTGTCACAGGTGCGAAGGCAACGCCTTTGATATCGGGATCGTCGACGACCAGACTCCGAGGAATCAGCGTATTCAATAGTAGTAAGGTGCACCCTGCAGAAGGTATGCTTTTTTGATGCGACTGCTCCGTTGACGTTGCCAGATGGCTCAGCATGTGCAGGCAAAGAAAATAGTCAACGTGAGAGAAACACTGCACGACAAGATCATCCAAGCACAAGAGTGTTCACCGTTAAGTGGCATATAGGTAGGCGAGTCTGCTGGATGGAGATTGGAAGCATTGAAGGCCTGATGTCGATCTCGCTAGTGCTCTTTGTCAATGTGCCTGGCAGGCAGGAGGCGGCCCTCTCCGAGGGCGTCGCTGGTGAGCAGTCCAGGCTTCTCTGGAGGCAAGGGTGGTTTGTCCTGGCGGCAGGTACAGCTGGCTGGTTTGGCAGCTTTAGCCTGGTCTGGTCACGGGCTCGGCTGACAGTCGTCATGCTTCGCCATTACATGACTCCAACTAGGGCTGGCAGACTTGCGGATGAGGTGGCGAGCTGGCATTCGGGAGGTCAGGGTCTTGTAGAGCTCCAAAAGAAAGATGTTTTCACAGAGCTGTCTGCCAGGCGCAAGGTGCACGAAGAGCCTGTGCCCGAGCCTCCAGCCACCCCACCTGCCACGGAAATTCATCGATCCATTGTGGTGGGCGGCTTCTTCATTGCAGGAGCGAGCAACCACCTTGTGTGCTCGAAGTTTGAGCTTCACGGCCCCGCTGATTAAATTCAGGAGTCCTCCTTCTGGCCATCTGCAGATATTGCGATTCGATCTTGGCTTTTGCATCTCAGTAACTGCAAAGATTCTAAAAGACACAGTCAACCGTCTGCAACACCGAGGCTAGACAAAGAACGAGTTTGCGAAGACCCTACCGGATTCCGGACTGCCCCGCCTGTGACTAGCTCTGAGCACGACAACCTCCTCCCGGTTGAGACGTTGAGACGCTGACTCTTCTCTGTGTGCTTTGCAGGACTTCGAGGCAGGGGCCAAAAAGGCCTTAGCAGCGGATGCAGAGGCGCAGTGCGGCGCAGCCCATCCCATCCCATGCCATGTGCGCTCCGAGCGAGTCTGCAAGCGAGGCGGAGTTCCGGAGAGTCGTGAAGTTTCTTCAGGCCAGCAGACTGACAACAGTTGGCAGAGTGGCATGGCTGCTCAGGACACTACAGTAATAACTAGTCAGTGCCGAAGTGCAGCACTTGACTCGTTCATGCATGCAGGGCTATAGCAGAGAAGTAGCAGTCTTTGTCGTATTTTTTTGGAGTGACTGAGTTCGTGCCGCATGAGCTGTACAATACTTTAGCTGCAGGAGGAGGAGGGGAGGAGCGGGAGCGGGAGCAGGAGCAGCAGGAGCAAAAGCACAAGTTCTTTGTCTGCAGAACATGTACAACTGATTCGGTGAGCAGAGTGTTGTTTTGTCGATTGCGGGTGTAACTGTCAACTCGCAGGGAGGTTGCACAACACCCCCAGCACAGCCGGGGGGGGGCTAGTTCCACGTCTGGTATTTGCTTCTGTAGATGCGCGCATGCCAGCAATCGCTGTACCAGTTCATGTCAGGATTTGTAAAGGTAATTGCCAACGTGCCCTGAAGAGGATGAGGTGCTGATTCCTATTGATGTTCGGCTGCCTGGTCGCCCTTTCGAGCACCTCGGACTCACAATGGCATTGCGGCTGCCAGCAGCCGCTTTCGCGTGTTTCCGAGATGGCTTGAGAGAGGTACGATATGCATGCGTTTCCTTTTACGCCGATGGTCCGGGCCTTGGAACGAATCCACACAATGGATCCGCAAACGAATGTGAAGAGCTTTCGATCTTGCAGGTCTTAGTGATTGGCAATCACTCCTCCGGCAAGTCCACCTTCATCAACAAGCTGTTGGGGAAAGAGGCTGTTGTGCGCTTGCCTTCATCAGGCGTGCAACAGGAAGTTGCAGCGTCTTTCTCGAGGTCCAGGATACTGGCGTTGCACCCACAGACGACGGCTTCACCATCCTTGAGAGACGGACGGTCACCGAAACAGAGGCTGCGCAAGCCTTTCGACGATTCTGGATGCTCTCTCTCGGAGCTCACATCGGCTTTGAGGACGGTCCGACGGTTCTTGGATGTCCGGAGAATCGACCATATGCTGAGCCGTTGCCCAAGTGGTCCAGCAAACTAGGAGGTTGCTGACAGAGAACAAGAATCACCGCACAGACGTGTGCTGGAGGCTGCAGCGGTTTGGTCAGACCTTGGCCGGAGTGCTGCGAAGGCTTGCTCGAATTGTGTCTGCCATTCTGATGCTTGCTCTTTGTTTCGAGGAAGCGCCTGCTCCTGCCCCAAAGCTCACAATTCCCTTTCGGCTTGCAGATTGTGGACTCGTCCTTTCCTCGGGATCTTGCTATGTAAAGCTGGCGAGGCTCCCAGTTTTGCTGAGGCCTGGAATGATCGATCTACCCGTCAACGAGAAGACCATGCCGCTCGCACAAACGAAGCGCTTCGCGGCTGCCGCCGAGCTGGGAGCCGAGGAGTGAATCCAAAGGCCGAGGCTACAACTTCGTCGAGGCGCCTCCGCCTCCGCCGCCTCCTGCGCCCGGGCTGCCCGCTTTGCGGCCTGAGCGGACATGCGAAGTGGCGTGTGGGGCACGAGAGGTGGTGCGATGGTGGGCGAAGCGCGCCGATCTGGTCTTACTGCTCTTCGACCCAGACAAGCCAGGGCATGGAGCTCAACTCTACGAGCTCGGGAAAGATGATTATTGCAGCAGAAAAGCTGCAGCTTGGACTTGGCACCAAGGACCACCGGAGAAACCTTAGACGTGCTGACGAAGTCGCTGGCGGGTCTGCAGCTCCTTTGCAAGAAGCCACCTTTGCAATGCCATTCGGGACAAACCCCTCGTGAGCTGAGGAACCACAAGTTTCTCGTGATCCTGAACAAGGCAATGCTGGAATGGCCACACAAGTCGGAACGCTTTGTTTTGAAGCTGAGCAGGTTGACAAGCTGGACAACAGCGTCGACTTTGCTCGTGCTTATGGTGCCCTAGGATGGGCACTATCCAAGGTTATCAAGCGTAAGGCGGGAGGGATGCAAGAAAGCCTGAGTTCAGCAGGAGTGGGGGATTCTGCATCTCCAGGACATTCCGGCGATTTATACGATGTTCAATGAGGGAATGGAGTCACCAGGCTTGGTGCCCTTCCAGAACCTGGCTCCCCTTAGACTGGTTGCCTTTGAGAGGACGTGAAGGCCTTCCCTTGGAGCGCTTTGTGAAGAAGCGCGAGGAGGCGGCCGGCCCAAGTGCTGAAGCTGGCTGAAGCTTCTGAGTCTGGTGCTGATCGGTTCGCGAAGGTCATTCTGGAGGTGCTCAGGGTTCGAGAGAGACACAACGATAATATCATCACTTCCCTGGAGGACAGAAGCGACGGTTGAAATTGCTTCGCGGTAGCCGCACAGTAGTCACACTTCGACAGGCGAATAGTGAGGTGCCGCAGTGTCATGTCGGCATGCAGGAGACAATGCGCCAGATGCAGATGCTGGTTGGAGTGATTCATCGGCTGCGCCACAAAGCCAGTGACCGCTACTGGAGGCTCAAGGCTCGGGCACTGTGCAAACCAAGCGGCGATGATGTCCGTGAGAGTGTTTCATGTTTCGTGTTTGCACATGTGACGGCGTCTCGGCAGTCCGATTGCGCGAGGGCCCGCCAGTCTTTCGGCGTGTCTGTCAGTCTGTCCTTTTTTGCTTTTCTCGATTTACTTTGTAATTTTACTCCGTTAATGTAAAGGATATGTAAAGGTGTTGCCGTCCTCCGTCGCAGGTGTGGGCCATTTTCAGTGCGCTGATGCCTGCGATTGCCTCAGATTCACAGTGTCTCGCGGATTCAGTCAGACTGGTCATGAAAGCTGACTCAGGTCGTGGGCATTTACAAAATCATGCATGTGGTGCATGCCCAAGCTTAAAAGGGATGATAAAACGGGTCTGCATCTTCAAATCCAAACAGTTCACTCAGGGCTCTAGTTTCCAGTTTTCGTAGCCATAAACTGCGCTCCCTATCGCAAACGTCCTATCACCTGCCATTAATGGGTGCGACTGGAAGTTCTCAGGTCAGGAGTCGGCATAAGAATCCTGCACCGGAAACTGTGCAGTCTGAGAGCGACATGATTTTGTGAGTGCTGAGATTGTTGGAGGCGCAGACTCAGCAGCCAATAACACCTTACTCCCAGCGCTCGCCTCATCACGCCCGAGGCAGCGGCCAGCATGCGAATGGCCGCTGAGATGGCCGCGGCAGATCTAGCAGCATCAAGAGCAGAAGAGCTTCCAAGTTTCTTGGCCCGCGCTTCCAACATAATGTAGGCAATCCTTCGCAATTCCCTGGGTTCTTGGATCGCATCGTTTTATCAAAATAAATATCTCGACGCCACACGAGGCCGGCGGCATTGGGGCGGAGGGCTAAGCTCTTGGCTGTGGTATCTTGTGTCTGCAATCCTCGTAGGATGGGCATTCTGCCTCTACAGACTGTGACTTGCACATGCCAGACCGCACGCCATGATAATGGTGGACCAAGGGTTTCTGGGACGAGCAGAACCTGCTCCAACAGCTCCACCAGAGCCTGCAGGCAGCAACGCCCGGCCAGTGCCGGCGGCAGAGACATACTTTGAGATAGATTCGGTGGATGATTGTCTTATCGGTTCAGGCTTGACGGTTGTAAAATCAAGCGCGCAGGCACGGCGGAAGAGCAAGGTCCTCGGCCGTGCCGGCAAGCGGTGTCCTTCTCTTCTAGCATGTCTTGCGTGCATGTCCATGCTATGAATGCTCATGGTTTCGAGGTTCCACCCATTTGGCACATGGGTCTATGTGACTGCTGTTGACTCAGTCGCTATCACTGCAATAGTGGCTGTCGCAGAAGTCGGCTGTGGCTCGCTGCACGCCGTCGCTTCAGGTGCTTGTTGTGTACTTGCTTTTTCTTGCTGGCGTCCGCATCTCGTCGTGTCAACCGGACAGAGCTCTCGTCAGATTGCTGCGAAATCTCCAGGTGCTGAAGATGCTGTGGGACAGCTTCACTCAGTGCGGATCGCAGCGCTGTTCGCGTGTGCTGTGACTCTCGCGCTCGCTTTGGCTCTTGCTGACTCTCTCTCTCTCTCTCTCTCTCTCTCGCTCGCTCTCTGTGGGCATGCGGCTGGCCGTGTCGAGGGCCTCCTGCCCGGTTAGACATGTTACGCAATGTGTTGTAGGCATTTAGTCGTGAACATGCTGTCATCGCAGCCCGGAGCAGGTATCAGAAAGAGCTCTATGTAACCCTGGAGGCGACGTTTGATGAGGCCAGAGGCTCAGTAATCACAAGCTTGAAGGTCATGAATGCTCTATGCAATGTCATCATGAATCATGAGGAACTTGTAAAGGACGATTTTTGTGACCCGTGTTTGCTTTGCAGACCTCCTCAGACAAGGACTGGCCCACGCGGTCATAAACTGAGAGCCTCGACTCCTAGATCGGACACACCAAAGAATCACGTAGACTTGGACAGACAGGTGGCGAGAGCTCCCTCCTGTATGCCAGGAGACCCCCTAGGCCCAGCACGCAAGCAAGAGCTCCACTGCCAGTGCTTTCTTCGGCGCCCTCGCACGCGCAGCACGCACAGCCATCAGCGCCAGGCCGATGAGCACACAGTGGGTGCGCCAGCGCACGGAGGAAAGAGAAAGAGCTTAACATTGACGGATTCGTGTTCGCAGCTGTGATCGATCCCCGATGCCGTTGAATGTACGCATCGGGAGGACGTGCGCGTGCATATTGCACGGTGACAGTGAGACTTCGCGTCCGTTCTGCGTAACATTACAGCTCCAATCTGGGAGCACGTTTGCTTTTCGAACTCCACAATGTCGGGATATGTCGGGATCAGCGTTCAGGTCTTCTATGACAAGTTCATACATGACGAGGGAGAGGACAACTTGCCTGCACGCAGCTCCAGCTGTCGGGTTGAAGTGCTACTGTAGATTGCCGAGATTGTAGACCTCTCCAGGACCTCCGCTCCAGATGGAACGTTGTGCGGCCCAAGGTGCAGTCTATCCTGCAGGCCAGCAGGATAGTCGGAAGAGAACTGCGTTCAGAAAAGAAGCGCCAGGCGAGAAGCTTCTACCCTCTTCTTCCCTTCGTAGCTGCCTGGGAGATGCAGAGGCGATTCCGAAGACACTTCCTCAAGAGGTCTGATCTCCATCGGTTGCAAACTGCGAGGATATCTGAAGCACTGCAGACGGACGTCTGGTACCTGCGCCAACTGGCCCGCCAGCCTCGGCCTGAGCAAAGTCGTCCTGTTCCGCCGCGCAGTGCCGCGCAGTGCTTTTCTCGAGGTTGCGGCAGCCTCCCAGCCCTTCGACTCCCACGCGTGGAAACTCACAGCAGGGGCGTGGCACTTGCACCGACTGGTCAGAGATCTGCCTTGCCATCGTTTGCACACCGAGGCCATTTCTATGAAAGCCGCAGATTTTCCTTCGCGAGCAGCGAGGTCTCTGGACTCTAGCCTGTTGGATATCGGCAGTAGGCCCCCGATGCAACTGTCAAGAAATTCATGCAGGAACTCTTAGCTCAGCCTCTCTAGAGCAGTCCAAATCACGCAAAGCTGCTGAGATTTGCCACTGCTGTGTACACATGTCGTCGTCATTGGCGGAGACTCCGTTCCATTGCAACGAAAAGCTTGATCCCTTGTCGAGCTTCTTAGCTTCTAGCTGGTGGTTGCCATAAATCTCTGAGATGTTCCAATTGCATTCATGATCCCTGACGCAATGGTCCGAGTAGTCGTTCCGCTAGTGCAAACAAAGTTAGTGCGCGCTGGGCACCATGGATTAAAAAGCCTTTATGTCGCCGAGTGCTTCCAAGAAGCATCGACGTGTCACATGACATCAAGTCATTCCAATCAATTGAGCTGCGAACAAGCCGTAGGTTCGCCTGGCGGTTCGGCCATCGGACTTGGCATGTCAAAGGCAGCTTGTGCCTCGAACCAATTTTGTTTTTGTGGGTGGTGATATGATACGTTCTGCATGCAGGCAGCCAGACAGCATGCGGCCGCATGGGAGGCGCCTGCTTGAGCAGCATGTCGTTCACATGGGTGAAGGCAAAGTCTTGACACCCATGGCTCACATTCTGAAACATGTGACTCTGCGAGGGCAACGACCCATTCGGAGGACCCAGGCACAATGCGCCACCAGCCGTTTCCTTTATTCTTTGAGCGTGTTTGTGGCGGGGCACAGAGAAATGAAGAACTGAGATAAAGGGAGAAACAAAGGCGACTGTTGTTGTGGTAGTGCCGGCATCTGTGCGGGGAGAGGGCTGGAAAGGCATCGCATCGCAGGGCTTGTGGTGGGGATCGCACACAGGTGACCCGGGAGAGGGTCTCACGTGTTGCGGTTGCCAGGTCGTTGGTGCAGCCTCTGACCAGGGCTGTCTAGGTATCGCGAGGTCCATGAGGGCAGGGTGAAAGAAGGGGGGAGAAGAGAGAGGTCTGAATGGCAAAGAGCAACCTCCGATCATCCCGGCAAGCCAGCCTGCACTGTAAAGAAAGATAGAGATGGAACATGAGATGAACCCGGCTTGAACTCGCGTGAGTTTGGTTGCAGAAGGTCGGCGAGCGGCCTGGGACACGTTGCACAGAGATCGAACTCAGTGTCGGTGTCGGGCTCGGGAGAAGTCGGCAGAGGACTCGGACTCTAGTGTCTAGTGATTCCAATGTGGATATACTCTGCTCCCTGAGGCAGAGAACCCTCTTGCTGCACTGGCGAGATGCCGTGCTCGGTGACGGGCCCTTCTGCTAGGCTGCCAGCGATGCTGTCGCGAGAAGGAGCTTGACCGCACATCCAGAATCTTCAGCCTGCCGTAGCCGTCCGAGCAACGTACATTCAAGAGTAACAAGCACCCTTCACCGTGTCACTTTGCCGCCGCTGTGGCAGTCAGGGCATTTCGTTGAAATTGAAAGTTGAAGGACCGAACAGCCCTTGTCTTCTATCTCAAGCGTAGAAACTCGCACATAAACTGCCCCGCCCTACTATATTACTTGTGACTTGTCTTGATTGAAATTGATATGTCAGAGGGCTTCAAGACGCATTTTGGTAAGGCCGGCGCGGATAGTTCCTGTAAGCCTACCTGGCCTACCTGATCTAAGAACATTCCAAGAACTGTGCGCCAAAGTAGCCAACCCAAGCAGAACTGCCCGAGTTTCTTCATTCTATGCAAGCGTCCGTACAGCCATCTGTGTCCAACTGTCTTGCTGCAGCTGAGTCAGCATTCATGCAATCCGCATGCTGCCGCCACCGCCATACTGGACATGTTTCAATAGTACTGCAGAATTTGATCCGGCTCCGCTTAGACAAGCTTCGCGGTTTTGCCCTTATGAATTACGTTACTCTTGGCTATTGGGTTTCCAACTTTTGGTTTTCAACCATAGTTGCACTGCATAACAGCGCACCACCATTCCATGGAACATGAATGGATTGGTCGCAGAGCCAGCGCTTGCAAGTCAGGCTGTGGAGGGTCGGCATCAATTCTGGGATGCACCAATTACGGAGTATGTCGTCTATCTCGATGAACTGGTTACTGGTCGGACGACATACCACATCAGCCACATCAGGTGTCGCCCAGGGGATGACGTACAATGCATGGACGGCCCGTGACGTATCATGTGATACAAGGATGTTCGATGCCAGACACAAGGACCTGACCTGCAAAGTCCTGACTTTGCGGATGTTACACTCCAGTTCCTAACCCACGAAAACTCATTCGTATTGTCTTCGTCGGCTTGTTTTAATGTTGTCAGAACTGGATCAGCCTTCCGATCCTGGGGCTGGGAATGGGTCAAAGTCAAAGCAAAATCGCACACATTTGCAGACTGAACGGGGGGGGAGATTCAGACTGCATCTGCAGTGTTTGGCGTGCTTCCTCAGCCTTGAGTTTCAGTTTAGCAGGTGCGGGCGAACCCGTCGTTTCGACTTTTGGCGGGGTGTCCGGAGCAGGTACGGGGAAGACGGCGAGCGATTCCTCGTAGAGCACATGCCCGCAGATCACAGCCCCTTTTCACGCAATCACGCTCCTCCGAAGAGTTGACGAGGGAGGCACCTCCACGATAGTTTCGAGGCTGCGGTTTCCATGGAATTGGCATTGACCGACGAACAGCGACTCGGCTCGGCGGTGGCTGCCGGCTCAGAGATGCAAAGGTTTCCAAGTGCCCAGGCTGCGGCACTCCTGCTGCAAAGTTTAAGTGATCCAGAAGTGAAGGACCGATGCTTTTGGGCTCCTTTGTGGCGTAGCTTATCGTAGATTGTGAAGATTGAAGGATTTCTTGGCATCAGATCTACTCGCTGCCATCCAGACAGGACCGACACTGAACTAGCTGTAGTGTGGAGCTGCTCTAGCGACTCTAGCGCCGACGGTCACGAGCAGCTTGAGAGGAGAGAGATCTTCTTTTCCTCGCGAGCTTCGCCACGACACAGATCTTTGGAGACACCTCGCCGACTACTATCGCTGCCAGGAGGCGCCGACGACACGTAGACGCTGCAGCATGGGCCTTCTCGGTGACTGGTGAAGGATTTGGATCACAGACACCGCGAGGCATTCCGCTGGGGTTACTCCTTGCTTTTATCGATGTGACATTGCCATGGTTAGTACCACTGTCGTGTCGGAAGGCAAGATCCTTTCTTCAAGATGTGGGCGCTTCTGCCTTTGTTCAGGTCCGTGTTGCAGCGAATGTGAGGGTTGTGATGACATCATCTTGTGTTGCTGGACACGTGCCAAGAAGGCACTGTTAAAGCAGCGCGAGAGAGCATAACCTTCGAAATGAACGCCAAAGTCAACCCCGACCGTCTGCGACTTGCATAAGCACGTACATGATCATCCGTCATACAACCCGGGCAGACGGAGCACACTTGCTGCCTTGGCGTCAAGAGGCACCCCGAGGTCACAAATAAAACCCCTTGCAGCACTGAGAAGGCCACGCAAGTACACCAGCACCCGTCAAAGACCAAGTGTAAAGCCCTCCTTAGCAGGAGAAATCCTTGCAGCCTACCGCGTTCAGCAGAAGCGTTGCCGCATTCCCCGTGCGGTTCCTGGGCCCTCTGTAGATTCTCGGTATCACGGCACGAGTTTCTCTCGGCCTTGGTGGGGTGATTGTGGTGCTTCGAACAGAACCCGAAGCCCAAACTTTTCAAGGGCGCGATCTATCTACCGCAGCACCAAGTCTCAGAAGAGGCATCGAGAGGTTGAATGTTGGTTTAGATACGTTCCCCGCAGCGTTGGACAGCTTCTGGTACGATCTTGTAACGGACATGAGATCGCGGGGAGGATATACCTTCGCAGAGCACCCCCAGCCACGAGGAAATGCCAAGAATACAGACGACATCATGCAAGGCACAAACAACACACAGTAGTTCAGGTGCAGGCACTGATTGCTGTCTGTTTGCTTGTGTATGGAGAAGTACTCTTTCAAGTTGCTCTCTGCAGGTGTCTGTGAATGGTCCTTGTCCCTGAACTTTTCGTGAGTGAAGCGAGTACTACCCACGACTTTTTTCATGCATCCGGTCGGAATACTCTTTGTGATTCCCACCCGACAATTTCTTGTGGGGCAACCTTTTTGGTATGTTCTTCTGAACAAGTGACATCAAATCGGGTGCTCTTGCAGAGAACTACTTGGTCCCGGGGCTATCTCGTATCACCTGGGTGTTTTACGCATCTGCAAGGCGTCTACTTCGGGGAACGCATTATAAACGTTATATCATCTTATCAAGCTCTGTATCTTCACCTTCATATTCTTCGGCGTCCGCAGCACGCTCTCGCATTTGTCAGTGTCAGTGGGCTTGTGCGCGCTCATCTTCGCACGAGTGTGTGCTTGTGTATTGCAGCGTATGTATTAGACATCTGTATACATATGCACTGGTGCGGTCTGTGCCTGTCGGTTTTGGAAGCCCAAAGAGTCTTCTGCTCACATCTGCGTCGCGCAGGACTCGTGCAGGGTCACGCGGGACTCGCGTAGGACTATAACATAGCGACCTACTCACCACCCATTTTTCAGGGTTGCTTTTCATGCTTCCGTGGCGGGTTCAGGCATCCTCTCAGTCTTATACTAGTAGCATGCCACTTTCAAATCCCAGCGTCTACTTGGCAAACGCACTGCTTTCTTATCTTGGAATGCTTCCAAATGTAGTATATACCTCAGCGTCCGCAACAAATCCGGCACTTTGGCCTACCTGCTGCGTGCTTCTTGAAACCAGCGTCTACATGGGGTTTAGGTAATTCTGATGTGTAAATTTCCCGCTGATGTGTATTCTCCCTAAACCAGCGTCTGTCGGCATTGATGTGTATTCTCACCAGCTGATGTGAGATAACCCCAGCGCCCAGTAAATGCATAAAGTCGTCTGTGGCCGCGAACTGATGCTTGATCTCATGACGACTTCGACGAAGAAACGCAAGAAGTTATCCCTGAAAGGCCCGATGTAAGTGCCCGCTCTTGCTGCCACTATAAGCCAGGAGCACCCAGCGCCAGAAGGTTCGGACACGCTCCACTTTCAGCCCTGAGACCCTCCAGTTTCGGGCGCGAGCCACCTGCTGCAGCAGCTGGGTTTGAGGAAAGTAGAAATGACGAGATTTCACTTCACTTGGAGGTGAAAAAATTCGATGCGGCACGCAGAGTTTTTTCTAACAACGTAGTGCTGGAACTTGCAATTTTCAAGCCAATACGCAGCTGCACGGTCTATGTCGATGCTTATGCTACAGTACCTGAGAAAACCCGCGAAATGAGAGCTAACCAGGGCTTGGCAAGCCCAGAGTTGAACACAGCAGAGCGCATATCGCACCCGAGTTCCAACATCTGTGCACCCAGGGAGCCGTAGAAAGACTCGGTCTGGTGGCGGTGATGAGCTCAGGCAGAGACCTGTGGCATGAGGGAACATGCTGCTCTCTTCAAGAAAAAATACAAGGTAGTTACGATCATGGAGGAGTGAGCCACAGTTCTTGCTGAGATTGTTTGAGGCCTTGAGACTTTTCTTCAATGAGCTGAAGGAGAAGGCAAGTTGCATTGCGGTTGTGGAAGCCGGCGACCAGTCGAAACATGCGGAAGACAGACTCATGTCGTGTTGCGCTGGGACCCTCGTTGACGCGAGCCGCCCACAATGCGCTATTTAGCTAGATGCCAGGAACAGAGCACCGCAATCGAAGACTCACACGTGCATGCGAATTTCATCGGCTTCTCACAGAGATCTCTGGTGCACTCGCAGCCACTCGTGGCTCTCGGGCACATTCAACTGGTGTCAGTGTTCACGACAGCTCGTCAGGAACGGGATGTTTTACAACGTCCAGAGTCACTTCGGGGTTTGTGGAGTTGCAAGGTCATGCAAGGATGCAGCTTTGAACAAGAATAATTATTGCTGTAAACTAACCCAAGATCTGTAAAGCTCTTGAACTTCAAGGGCGATGATTCGGCTTCCTCAGAAATCAAAGTACACATGCTACCCCGGTGTCGGATAGTGATCTTTTTTGCGTAGAACCAGCTGTACCAAGGACGAAACGACATCAAGCTAGTCGCAAAAGCCATACAAATATCGAGAGAACTGAGAGCTGCCACGGAAACTGGAGCGAGGTCAAGCCCAAGCCTCCATAGAAGCCCATTTCGGCCTGGCCCAGGACTACAGGGTTGCCTTTCCCACAGGCCCTCAACAAAGATGTCGGACCGGAGGTTTGATTTCAGATATGTCCACCGGTCATGAAACCGTAGGTGATTGTCAGAATCGTCGTCTGACCAGCAACTCTGCTGTACTGTGGAATATGCATACTAGTAACAAATACATATCTCCCTTCTGCTTTCTCTATCTCTATCTGCCTGGATCTGTCTGGACTTCTGTCTGTCCCTAGGTCTCGTTGGCTGTCTGGCAACGTAACTGTGTGGCAGCCGTTGTGCTGCAAGGCTGCTTCCCTCCCAAGTGGCCGCGAAAAGCTTCTCGCGTTTCAGCTGCTGGCGCAGTGCAGGGGACTTTCTCGCGGGATCCGGGAGTGCCCTTGTGCATGTTTGCGTTCGATGCAGTTCCGGGTGCGGCATGCGATGCTTCGGTCGAGGCAAATCGCAGGAAAAGGAGGCGGCCGCAACTGCTGCTGCGACAGCGCAGGCCTGGCTTGGTCGACCGTGTGACATGAATGGATTCGTGATTGGGCATCACGGCCCGGCACCGCAGGCGCTGGAAAGACTGCGACAGCAATGTGGCAGATGCATTTTCGCGCCTGGCGGCTTGGAATCGGCTTGGAAAGCTTGAGTTGAGCCGGCCCATGAACTGGAGGTATGTCTCATGGGTCGGAAGTGACGACACCTTCTGGCTTTCCTTTCTTCGTGGTTGCGGCAGACCGGGGCCGAACGGCAGTCGTGCTCAGTCATTACAGGCTTTTTTGAAGGTTACGAAGTAGTGTGTCCGTTCGCACATGATGTTTTGTTAGCTCGAGGCCCTCAACAATCTGGCGGACTGCTAGATGCCGTCGCAAAGGCTGAGGGGATCTCGAAATGCGATATATGCAGTCGGTATGTTTACGTGAGCTTCCCTTGACCTGAGCTTCAGCCTGCAGATGCCTGCAGGTCGCAGGTCTCACCATCCGAGTTTGGGCTGAAGGCAATCACTCCGCATTCTTAGAACTCTTGGAATTTAGCACCAAAGCCAATCCATCCATTTCCTGATTTTCTGCAGGTCGCCAGGCCCCACGGTTGTCATTGCTGCATGAAGCACGATTTGGCAGCCGCCTGGTGAACCTTTGGTGCGCTCCACGGTCTAGCTAGCGTCATATTCATGCTTGCAAGCACCTGCAGCAAATGTCACCCTGGAATGTGCGATCACATGCAGAATCTTGCAGAAATTGTATGCCATTGGGCCGCGGTGATCTATTCGGCTTGCCTAGCATATTGAGTTTCGGGTCAGCTTGGCGTTGCGACTTCCCAGCTCCGGCAGCACAGGTACCAAAATGAGCTCGGGCACTTTGATCGCTTAGTACCCTGTGGCTGAAAACATAGATTTTGACCGCGGGGAGTCTTCCAGAGATTGGTGGCTGTTGGCCGTGAGAACAGTATGTCGCCTCTGCTGTTCTTTTTTTTTTGGGCGACATGTGTGTTCCTCCATATTTCTCCTTTCCCAAAATGTTGCGTTGAACAGACGTTGCAAAGTGTCCAGCCATCCCTTAGAGTTCAGTCGAACACTCCTCAATTCTAGCTTGCCGGTTGTTTTTGATGGCAACTTGTCAGACAGGCCATGTCACCTGACACAGTCTCGATTGGTCAGCATCTGCTTGAAGCAGATTTGCTCTTGACGTTCTATCATGCCCACCGCCGGCATGGATCAAGCGGAGGCACATCGTAAAGCCACTCCCACATGAATATTGCTACAAACCCTTGCATGTTTCCCCCATTCAAACCCAGCCCAGCATTGCGCGATCGAACACACCACACTACCCTCGGCCATATCTTGGTTCGGAGTCAGATGGGCATAGGTTGTGCATTGCTGATAGCACTACCTGCAACGCATGGACTAGGCCTGTTGCAATGATTTTATCGGTCTCATCGTCACAACTTACAGAGTTGGTCGCCGCGAGACCTCACCCTTGAGTGCAGGCCCGAGCTTCTGCGAGCTGCCTGCAGAGCTGGTCGAGTATCTGGACCGTTAGCTGTCGCTGTTTCCCGTTCCTGCAAGCTTGACTGCCGGAGAGGAGCCATGGGAGAAAGCGGCGAAGAAGTCCATGCCGGAGCCGTGCAGTTCCTGTAAGCCCTTTCCGCCAAAAGAGTGTGATCTTACAACATTTGTGATCACTGCAGGAGCTACAGCCAGGGCCAGAGCTCCTCTCGTGCCTGCGCGCCGTGCAGCAGGCCGACAACACTGAGCCCACGCATGCAATGCCGCGGCCAACGCGCCGAAAGTGAATGCACAAACAGCAGTGTTCTGCGCAGGTAATGTTTGCCATCCCAACTGTAAATAAACGCTTCGTGCCGTCAGGGGTACTGTTGGCAAAACTTTGCCTTCCTTGAGCTTTCTGGTGTCCCTTGCCCTGCTCGTTCCGCTGAGCATGATAATCTTTCACCAGTGCATGGTGCTTGCTGAACGATGGCTTAAAACCAAACTACTGCATGGAAAAAGATAAGTACGAAGCGGACGGACTTTGATATGAGAAGGTGGGAAGCACTAAGTTTACTGATTATCGCTCTTCAAAAGTCGCTAGCATAAATGGTGCTGCAGTTGTCTTGGAGAGCAAAATCAAAGCAACGATGGACAGCCACGTTTTGTCTGCGACGACAGCACCACCTTAATCAACTAAGTCATATCTAGTAAACCGTGAATGGATGTTGTGTGCCGCCTGACGAGAAGCACTGATTTTAATGATGTTTCCTTTTCGGTCCGATGGTTGAGTTTCTTTTGGTCTGTGATGACGTGACCTAGAATAGTTCGAGTGGTTGAGTTTCTTTTGGGTCTATGGTGGGGTATTGCTGATGGGTCTGGGTTTGGGTCTATGATATGGCCTAGAATAGTTCGGGTGGTTGTGTTTCTATTGGGTCTATGGTGGGTTGTTGTTGAAGGTTCTGGGTTTGGGTCGATGATATGGACTGGAATAGTTCTGGTGGTTGAGTTTCTATTGGGTCTGTGGTGGGTTGTTGTTGAAGGGTCTGGAAGTGGGTCTATTATAGTGGTAAGTCGGGCGGTTGAGTTTCTATCGAGTCTATGATGGGCTTGAGCTGAAGGGTATGGGTGTGGGTGGCGTGATAGGCCTGGGGGGAGCGCGGGTAGAAGATGGAAGTGGCCATCGCTAACTACTGGATAGCCTGGACCCGTGTTTCCAGGTGTCTGGCATAGTGCGTACACGCCTGTTCAAGAGTGCTGGCAAACAAATACGATAATTGGAGAATGAAAATTCGACTGCCGACGGCGTTGAACATACAAATGAAAGTGTTGCAAATACTATCTATGGTGGAAGCCTTTCAGCTTGGCACTCGAACAGGTTCAGTGTCATGTGAAGCCCGGCAAATTCAGATCTCCACGGCCTTCACCTGACACCTTAATCTAGGACCAAGAGCAACATCCAAACGCGACAGCAACTTGCCCGGTAAGCTGTGCAACTCGAAGATGACTGAGCTTGCGTGCGCTCCCTGAACACACGCTCTGGGCTGATGCGAAGCCAGAAGCATGTCTCTGCTGCAAGGTTCTTCGAAGCGCTTGTGTGGCAGTCGAGCGCGAAGTGGCCGTAACAGAGCGTCCATGGCAGGACACGCTGTGTTTACATGAAGTTACAGTTACATGATGTTGCATGTATATGTCAGCTGTGTTTAACGTGATCCTTTCCATTCTTTATGTTTGTGAAACGGCTCCTGTTGAGCATGCCCTGGCTCTCTTAGCCTTGCAAGAAGTCTATAGGGGCACGAGAAGGCAGAATGTCAGGAAGCCGCTTCGGCTTCACTTTGATTTCCTTCGAGGACTTCAGCGCAGCCTGGGATACCTACCAGAGCGACCTGCTGCGAGGCCTGCGCACTGTAGATCCGCTAGTCTTTGGAAGCAACATAAAGCCGACTAGCGGGCAACGTCCTGCAGCTTGCATATCGCGCAAGTGTTTGTGAAAAACCGCTTGTGTTGCTAGCCGCCACCATTTCGCAGCCGAAAATTGTTATGGCGCTGCTTGAATATGACCATGATGTTGGCTGCAGGTGCTTCTTCGGGCTGCAAGCATCCCCGCATGCTTGCCGCCGTGCTCCCTGGCGTGTGCCTTGGCTTTGTAATTCAGCCGGCTTTTCTCCAGCGCGGTTTTAGGTGGCTGTTAGATGTCAAGTAGCAACAAGATGCAGCTTGCAACACCATGTTCTCGTTGCCTCAACTGGACAGTACAAAACCAGGGGCGTAAGGGGGCATCGGCTGCAGCCGCCACGCCCAAACCCTGGACCGTGAACCTGAAGTAGTGAGTACACACTGCGCTGGAGGGATCCGTCTGGCGTTTCTGCGCGTTGACACGGGAGAGCGATATCTGCATGAAAAGAGACGAGGAGCACTCATACTTTGCAGCTCAGCCTGGTTAATGCACGCGCATCTACTGCGACCTTCGGGTGCATCCACGATGGCTTCAAGCATGTCACTGCACATCCATGCATGGAAGCACTTCGCAAAACGAAGACACCTGGGCGACCGTCAGCTCACCGAAAAAACCTGCAAATTCTTCAGCACGTCTGCTTTAATGCAGACTGTTCAGTTTGAACTTGGTGCTGGGCTACTGTCCTCTCAGCTGCAGTCTCCACGATTCTTGCGAAACTTCTTTCACAGCCCCCGTGACGAACGCTCGGCACGGTTTTGACTGTCAAGTTTTTGACGGGTCACCAGTCCGGTTAGCCCGAAGTGGTCGTCGTTGTTGCATTTGTAAACCACCTTCCATGACTAGTGTCAATGGCTTTCGCAGGTCTGAACAATTTTCGATGCTGGCCAGAGAGAGTCCATCGAGGCCATTTTGAGGGTGTTTTTTGGGGAACGTTCGAACGCCTCGCATTGTACTTTGCTTCAAGGGCTGGGGCTGGTAACTTGGAGACTGTTGTTGCGCTGCTGATGCTGCTGGTACCTCCTAACTAGTTTCTGCACTGTCCCTTTTGGCCACTCAAGTTCCCTGGTGACTCGTTGGTGCTTGGTTTTGCAAGGCTCTGGGGGCGCATGCTTTAATACATGCTGAGCTTCACTACGCCATGATGCTGCCGTTGTGGTTCAAGATCTTGAGCCAAAAGTGGCCAGATTGTCATTTTACTCCACCTGAGATTCTGCAAACCTGGAATCGGGGCCCGGCGAATAGTTATCTGAACATGACACTTGGGGTGGAAATCTCCTATCGGGACAGGCTAGGTTGGGTTAGGTTAGATCGCGGTCAGGCTTGGGTGGGTGGGCTAGGTTGGGGCTGGTTGGGCAAGGCTAGATTCGGTTGGGTTCGGCTAGGTTAAGTTGGGTTAGTTGAGGTCGCGGTCAGCTTTCAACGGTTACGAGGGGTTGCGTCAGGTTAGGTGAGTTTGGGTTGGGTCAGGTTGGGTTAGAGAGATTAGGTGAGTTTCCGTCAGGTTAGGTCGGGTTAGGTTCGGTGGTGTTGGGTTGGGTAGGTAGCGCAAGGGCTTGGCTTAGGATCTAGGGGTGGGCATGGGGTATTTCTACACTACTACAATATGTATGACTCTCTTCGCTGTGTCGCCTTTCGGTGATGGACTGGTGCTTGTGGTATCTTGTGGTGACCGAATATCTTTTTGACCTTCCTGTGCCATGAGCACATCGACGGTATGCTCGATGAACAGAACAAACTAACTCTGTGAACGAGCCCGAGCTTTGCAAACAGCTGGAGCGGTGCATTTAAATGAAGCCGCAGGCGGTGGCTGTATTCCTTTCAGAGCACATGGCGCATGGCTCGCGTCTCAGTTTCTTAAAAAAAGAAAAAAAAGGTGCGCGCCCTGTAAAAGCAAGCCATCACAATCACTGCATCAGCTTGCAATGGTTGACACCTTGTTTGACACCTTGCACGGGCAAGGCATTGAAGTTCCTCGAGTTCTTGCAGGTCATGTCATTGGATGGTCTGCGGCCAAGCATCTGGCTACGAGAGAAGCTTGCAGACAGTGTGAGCATGCGACAGCTTGCGAGCAGCGGCTGCCAATTCGCGCCTGTTCTGGTGTACACGCATAAACCCACCAAGCTAAGCTCCAAGAAGTGGACATGGCTGGCTTACGGGCCCTCATGCGCGGCTTATTCGCTAGGCTTTGACTGGATGTCAGACGTCGCGTATGGTCTTCATCGACGAGCTTTCCGGAAGGAGGGGCTTCCACATCAATGCATGCGTGTCGCCGTTTATGGTAGCATTCCAGCAAACGCTGTCAATCTTTTGCGATGTCTGCTACTTGCTCAGCACAGACATCACAGCGATTCTGTGCTGCAAGGTGTACGGCCCAGCAGACATTGACCGAAGTTTGGATCAGCTTGCAGCCATGTTAACCGTGGTCTTTTCCCCTGCGTAATCCTGCGTAGTCGTACTCCATGCCAGGCAGGTGACGAGCAAGTCCCCTCCCACCACAGTTATATCCTTCTGTAGGACTCTGTGGGTTTGTCACGAGTGATAGCAGCAAGGTGCATCGTAAGAGCGTTGTACGCACTTCGTTTTTTTGTTCCCATGTCTACTGCACTTGTGCACCGTGACACCGGTTACATTGCAAAGGTTTGTTGCGCATCTTGTGGAACAGGCAATGGACTCTGGAAGCTGTCAATTTGTTCTGCCCCTGCTGCAGGAAGGCCAAAAATTTGTGCCCTGGGCCTCAGTGGCCAGGGCAGCTCCGTCTTTCAAGCTGCTTTGGCTGCGGTGTGAGGAATTGAATATTGTCCCTAGCCTTAGGTGCTGAGGTCTTGTGCGCTCTTGAGACATGCAAGAGGATGTCAACATGTTGAACTCGCTCACAGCACTGGAACTTATGGTGAACCGCATGCAGTGCATGCCGTCCGTTGTAGCTGAGGGTGGCAGGACTCGCCGGAGCGTGGAGCGCAGGCGACGGGGCTTTTCGTGGTGCGGCGCTGCGCCACGATCTGCCTGCAAATCAAGTCGTGGATGCGGCCGTGCGAAGCCGCAAGGCAGTCCTTGACACGGATATTGTGCTGCTGTTTGAATCCGACGGTACAGTAACACCAAGAATTGGCTTTTGGTAAGCTTGCACGGCTGTTTGTCTTGTTGGAAGCACTGTTGGGCATGCTGGTGCCTGCGACGGCTGCCTCCAACTACGAGAAGGCTTCCTTTGGTTCAGCTTTGTTCCGGTTGCCAGGCCAATTTGCCCTTTCGCATGGTGGAAGTTGGCGTGTTCAAGGGCAACCTGACACAGCACGTCTGGCACCGAGCAGCACGGCGTCCAGGTTCAGTTAAGACATGCGAGCATCATAGAGCATCCAGGCCTGCACCGCTGCACCAGATTTGCGGTGCAGGTGCCTTTGAACTTCACCTGGTCGACCACTGGGGGGCCGCCGATCGGCCAATGGGTGTGGCCAGCAAGGTGAATCGGTTTGGCCTTTGTTTTGTTGTCGTGGCTCCCTCTCTCTCTGTCTCTCTCTCTCTCTCTCTCTCTCGGTTCTCAATTCGCTCCTTGCGGAGTCACTAAGACGACAGAAGTCGAAGAGAGCACTCGCCTCTCGGCTCGGTGAGGCCGTGGGCACCGGCTCTGACATGGGTGGCCAAAGTAACGCTTCCCTTATGCGCTCCGTGTGGCGATCCTTCGGGCGCCGTGGAGCTCGGAGGATGGAGGTCCCACACTGGCAAGGCTCGAAACAGCAGCTTGGGATATGTTGTGGTGCAATGCGCACAAGGACAGAACAGAAGAGGCCTTCCTTGTTGAGCTTTTGGCCTGCGACCAAGGGCCTGCGCCGCATTGAATGAAGCCAAAGCGCGCTTCCGTGCTGATGTGGTCTTCCACCGCAGCACAAGCGTTGGCCCGTCGAGGCACATTCAAGGATCAGTTGCGGGATGTTGTGGGTCGGTGGGTCATGGTCTCGCAGATCAAAGGAGCTCATCCCATGTTTCGCAACAGGGCCCCCGAAGAGTCCACTACCAGGCACGCATGCATGCACCAGTATCATTATCATCATCATCGTGATCATCATCACCATCATGCTTTTCTAGCTTGTGCAAAGGTTTTCGATCAAGTTGTACGTTGAAAAGCCGGACCACTGCTTCATGACCGAACCACCCATTCCTGGCCCAGGTGTTTCGAGGACGATAGCCTCGACCTTGTCTACATTGATGCTGATCACAAGTGCCCGGACTGCAGCGGGGCTGTAGTCAACGACCAGCCGTCCATCGTCGCACAGCACGGTAGATGTATGTATGCGAAGGCGAAGTGTTCCTGTGCTTTGCCGGTGCCGGGGCAGGTGGTGGAGCGTTTTGCAAGATTTGAGCGCCTGGTGGCCCAAAGTCCGGCCCGGTGGACTCATGCAACTGGCCAGCAATTCGGAGTGCTAGCGAATCTAAGCAGGTTCTGGCACAAGACAGCGTGGATCGTCCCTTTCCTTATCCGTGCCGCCATGGTACCAGCTTCACTCGAACCGCAAGATTGCCACTATGTCCCGCAAGGATTGCCATTATGACTCGTTGCCGATTGCCAATACAAGCACATGCGCCTGACCGTCCACTGCAGGTCGGTATTCACTTCCACCGCTACGATGATCAGACGATTAGTGGAGGATGGGCTCTCCTTAGTCTTCTCCTACCTGACCATCACCTTCGACTGGTATGATGCTTTCCAACAAATTATTCTGGAGGTTTTATGTGGGTCTGAATGTCATCCCGCGCTCTATTTCCAGACCGATGTGGGGGTGGCGAGCCTCCCTACGTTTGTTCCACTTGACCCTGCCGCTTTTGCCTACGTGTTTTGCCAACCATGGGAGACCGGTGGCTCCCAATGACGCAACCGGAAACCTCTGGAACACCCCATCAGACTGTCAGGTCTGCAGGTGCATGTCTACACTTTACGACGGGACTCATTTCTGGATTACCATGCATATGATCTGAGAAAGCTTGTACAACAATTTCCCACGGGATGACATTGACCCCAGCTTAGCAAGCGCCTCGTTTGAAGTATTCCGCAATGCTGTCTAGGGGAGCCGACATGAGGCGAACCGGGGGACCACGGCCTTCCCATGCTCTATGCCAACGTCAACTGACTTACCGGGTGATCCATCTTTTATCGGCGAGTGGTCGCGAATTCCCCTTGTGCGTCGGGTGAGCTTTATCAGCGACTATAGAAGAGTCCCTTCAGACTAAGCTTTTCCCCACGGTGGCCGGAAAATTTACCCTAGTCCTGCCATCGTCTCACCCTAAAAGGGTAGCGAAGAGCCCTGTATAGACATGTCCACTGCGTATGTAATTTCCTTGAACTTGTTCCCCAACCTGTATGCTTCCGCCGATTGTATGTTTTCCCCGCGCGTTAGTCCCATTGAAAGGGCTGCTGACGAGCGGTCTCACCTGTGGACACGCTCTGCGCGACTGAGAGAGAGAGAGAGAGAGAGAGAGCGAATTTAAGCGACCTGCATGGTAGCCAACTTGTGAAGCATTAGACGCCTTCTTGGGCGATTGCCGAACTAGCACTTTCTCAGCTAGCCAGAGGCAGTAGTGAGTGTTGTGCGAAAATCCGGAAAGTTGATGATAGTTGGTGGAGAGGAGGAGGCGCATGCTCGCGTGCCCCAGCGACGCCCGAAGCAAGCAAGGCTACGGCGGCCCCGGCGGCTACATGGAAAGCATGCTCCAATGCCTTTCCTTCCCACCCAACGTTGAAGCTTGCTAAAGGTTGACTGACGGGTCATTGCACCATTCACAGAACTTCCTGCCGAACATCAACTACAGTGAACCATTCGTGGCACAACTCCCGACATGCCCCGTGACTCAGAAATGCCGAGCGGCGCAAAAAGTGAGTCGGTCGGTCGTACTTATCACATTGTGTGCAAAGTGTACGTGCATGTTCTTGACTATGTAAACTCTGTTAGGGATACTGCAATGATCAGGAACCTCTGGCAGCTTTAGGGCTCTCTGAAACTGTTTTGTAGAAGGTTAAGTCAACGAAGTCAGGATGGGACATGACTTCCATTTCAACACGCTGATGGAGCGGGAAGAGCTGGCTGGAGGCAGCATCAACGATGTGCCCATCGCAGTCGGTGCTTTCTTCCGTGCGCCATTGCAAGTGTTGTTACACAGTGGATTCGTGTGGCCCCATTCTCAGTCGATCTGGGTTTCACTATCGCAAGAGTGAATAACCGACTAAGCGAGATCGGGACAGCAGATTTTCCCAAGGTCAGTCCAGAAGCCGACAAATTTCGCGACGAATGTTTCCGAGGCCTTTGCCTCACACGGAAGCCCAATCGCGTTGACTGCATAGAGCACCGTGCAGAGGTCGCTCTGCAGCGACAGGAGCTGTGTGATTTGCTGCGCAGGCGAATTGCCACTACAGCAACTGTAGAGTAACTCTGATATGCCACCGCATCCACGTGCCTGGCTCTGCAGTCGGCTGAAGCCCCACGCCACCTTCGAGATATGCGCCTTGAAAGCGTGAGATTTCGAGAAAATGGGGGTTGCCCCTGCTCGAGTTAAGAGCAGCTGGATCTCTCCAAGCACCGATTGAATTGGCATTTGACCCTCCGTTGCACGCCCAGCTTATCAACCTCCGGCTTCTTTTTCTCCAAAGCTGTGAAGCTGCCAACATGTCGGCAATTCAAAGAAGATCATCTGCACGTTGCAATGGCATGCAAGAGGCAGGTGTCCCCATCAAGATTCATTCCATATCATGCACAACTTCAGACCTTGAGGTCACAGGGGCCGGCAATCACTGACGAGCAAAGGCTTGAATTACTAAGTTATCACTGTTGGCAGCTAACCCAATCAAATTACATTGACCGGTTCACGTTATTGTGGCTCAGTTCTGCAGACGCTTAGCAGAGTCCCAGGTGGGTACAAGTAGGTGGCAGCAGTTCATACACAAATCTCGGCAGACCCTTAATTCAGAGTCTGATGGCGCTCATCCCATCTGACATGCCCTAGAAAGGCGCGTCCACGTGGCAGCACAAGTTCCCAGTCGAGATTCGGACTTGTCGTCATTTTGTCGAGCTGAGTTGGCAGGCTGCATGTTGGGTGAGCTGTGTCGCGCGCGGTCACGCGCTGTCGCAGCTGAGCGATGTCAGTCGTCGTGTAGCTGGCATGGTTACACTGTGGCTCATGGCATGGCAGACATACCGCATACGTTGACGCTGCTTTGGCTCTTGACACGCTGCGACCAAAGCAGGTGATGCTCCAGCGCCCTGGCAGTGGGCAGAGGCAAAGTGGGTTGTTGCACCGTTGTGAGTTAATTCATGGCACCGCTTTTCCCGAATGCAGCCCAAAGCTAAGAGCCGGATAGCATTTTTGCCCTTTGGTGTGTTTCATTTGCCCTCCTCGCCCAAGTCCGTCTCGTTTTCCGTTATGCCGAGTCATCCTTGCTGAGTCTCACTGGAGGACCCACGACATGTTCAGCGGCACACCTGCAACTGCATCCTCGGCTGTCTTTCTCTCTTGTTTGAAAGGCCTTCCCGAGCAGAGCTCACCGCGATTGGCCTCACCCCTGCACAGGCAAGGAGGATTTATGTCGGTGACTCCAAGCCTGTTTATTTTCCGTCGCGAGGCAGACCAGGAGCTTGTCAGACAAAGTGAGCTGGAAGCCACGCACTGAGTTTCAGCAGCATGGCAACCCTTTGCCAAGAAAAATCTCATCAGTCATCAGACGTTTATGCCGATGTCTTCATTGGAAGGACTGTGTACAATCGTGGCTCTTGTACACGGAATACTTCATCACAGGATGGAGCCGCAAACCCACCCCCTCCCTGATTGGGACCCAGGAAGGCGACATGTGCACGTCCTTGCTTTTCACGACATGCTTCGACAATGAAAAGGAACGCTGGTAGACTCCGTCCAAACCTGTACACAAGGGACTGCAGGTTGTATTCTTCTCCCGACAGCTGTCAAAAGGATCGGCTCGGAGAAGATTCTCGCCTAGACTATCCGAGAAGAGTGAAGACAGATGAATGCAGTGTCTGACCGTGCGGAGGTCGTTTATGCAAGCATCACTCGTTGGATGATGCTATTTGGATGTATCATTTGCAGCGTGCCCAGTGCCAAATGAACTGCCTCTTGCGATTTGCGTCCTTGCACTTTCGGATGTGCGCGCGTGGTTAAAATCTTTGTCCTTCATGAAAGTCGTAGCAGCTCCGTTTAGTCCTGCACACCCATGCCGAAAGTGTGGCTGAGGTGCTTTGCTGCCCGTGAGCCTCGTCCTGTTCTCGTACTTGATATACAGTAACGCGGATGCAGCAAGATGTCAGCACGCTCACAGAAGATTTGACATCGCTTGATACAACTCGTCGTGTTTGCTTGGACTGTGCGATGCTGCAGCACGTCTGACTCAGAGTTTTGTTTCGCTAGCCGGCAAGCATCGTGCAGTTGCTCAGCTGTCAGGCTTTGCCCAGGAATCGTGGAAGGACTGTTGCAAGTAAGACTTTCGACAAAGGCAAGGAGCACAGCTTTGAGGATCTGCTCCCGGACAGCTGTGTTTTTGCCGAAGGACTGCGACGTGCCACTGCGTGTGTGGTTCTATGTGGCGATGGCAGGGCAGAGCCGAAGTCGAAATCTAACGGCATGGGTGGCTCTGAAGATAATGTCGATGCATAGGGTTTTTGTATCCCAGCTTCATGTAACGTACCAAGTGTGGCGCAGGGTGGAGAGCGTGGCCTGAGCTTGCTTGCTTAGTGTGCTGATTCTCTGCCGCAGTTCAACATCGCCTACCACATCAACCTGGGCGGCAGATCGCTTCATCGACAGGTGATCAGGACAGGAGTTTTCCGCACACATGTTGGAAGCAGTGTCTGTGCCCGTATGTAGTTGGAGGAGCGTGTGTAGATACCAGGCCCGGTGCCAAGCAACAAAGCACTTCACGAGTGGAAGCCGTCACCTCGAGACCTATGAGGCACCCGAGCAGAGCCTGGAGATTCCTCCGGCACGTGTGAGGCATCCGGGCATCTCATGACGTCAAATCCTGACCGACATTTCAAGAGCGGGTCTGCCAGCGGGTCTGATAGAACTTTCATGGGGTGACAGGCGCGTTTAGCAGTTGCAGCCTTGCATGCCAATCATGTTCAAGGGTGCCAAGGAGACTTGCTGGAAGCAAGCTACTTGTAGAGCTTACAGTAGCACGGCGAGAATCGGGAAGTCGGGTCTTGCAAGGACAAGGCAGGCCGCAAGCCTTATGTTCGCCACAAGACGCCAGGTTCTACCACTGGCTGACGACTATTTTTGTCTTCTCGCGCCGCCGGCACGTCTTGCTGCATTTCTATGCAGAAATTTTTGAAGCTCCGTTTGGCCAGGTGGCACTGCATTGGCCTGCACTGGACCCGCATCAGCCTTTCGCCTGGGGCACAGTGAACAGCGACATCAAGAGAGCAGAGTCAGCAGAGCAGTACACAAAACCTCCATACTCCCAGCACAGTCCTGCTGATAGTCTGAGAGATGCCTGTGATTCACGTGAGACGACGACATGGCGGTGCGTTGTGCTTTCGCAAGGTATCTCTAGGGCCTAGGGCTCCACAAGCATCTTGGCATTTGCAGCATTCCGCATCTATTGCCATTGCCGCAGGTGCCATGAGACTGCTCCCAACATGTTCATGGCCACCTACCTTTTTGCTGCATTCAATGCAATACTGGCAGGTTTACCTGTCTCTGCAGCTTGTATACGTTCTGGGTTCAGTCTCATGCGGCAACGATGCAAGGTGAACAAGGTTGAGGGTTAATGGCTCCAGTTTGTGTGTTTCTGGATCTGTTTGCCCGATATAGGATCCTGAAGCGGAGCTGTGCGGCGCCCGCCGTAGGAATTTCGAGTCTGAGGCAAGCGTGCCTGAAAGAGAGCCCAAGGCCGCGGCAACCAAGCCAATAAAGCGACAAACCCCTGCAACAGTGATATGGCACAGTGTAAATCAACCTGCTCTATGCAGCTGAAGTCTGCTGTGGTGTGCTGCAGTCTTCAGCAGTCGAGTTTTCGTTCAACTCGGAATGCGCGATGATGCCAGGTCTTTTTCACAATATTCACAGTGGTCTCGACCTATGGGTCGCATGCTTGGGGGGAGCTTGCTATCCTCGGCCATGGCAAGGCGATCTAGAAAGGGAACTCTCGACAGCAGCGACTCAGGTTGCAACACATGCTGGCCTCCCTGCTCCGCCGGGGCACCGAGAAAAGACAGAGGAGAAGAGAGAGCGGGTCGGATCGTCTTCTTCAGCGCTTCACCGCACGCCTCGCTGGATCTGCTGCAGGTCGGGGCCTCCTCCCCTCTTCCATGGTCTCCGACCGGGCAGCGCCCGAGGCACGTCGCCGGCTCCACGCTGCAACGTGCAGACTAAATTGAGCCGTAAGTTGTTGTTTCAGGGCACAATCGAACTGCAGCAGACCGTGATCTTCGACCCACAGGAGCATCGAGCCTGATTGCACCTGTGCGACTGCTGCCGCAGTGTGGATGGCAGAGTGATCCTCAAGTCCATGGCCACTGCTCTTGCATCAGCTGAACTACATACCTCATACCTGCACCAGCTTGCATCCCGGCTTCTTGGGGCTGAAACATTGCGCCATGATGCTGCTCAGACACGGTCCAGCCATTAGTGCCTGATGTATTTGTTGAGGAGTTCGGAGATGCGCTGCAGTGTCCGGTTTGCATGGAGGACCGTTCTCCTGCTCTTGTTCCAAATCTCAGCCGCCTTCCAGATACTTCCGCTGCAGGACTTCAGCAAGGAGCACAAAATCAAGAAGACTGTATGTCTCGGGCTCTGACCGTCTTGCTCATCGTGAAACTCTGCTAGCGTCGTGGACAAGATGCGAAGTTGCTGCTCGGAAAGATCAGTTCCGGCTTGCTGTTGCATCTACAGGTGGGCATTATTTCCACGAGAGTTGCTTGGTCCACTGGCCGGTGGACTCAGCAAGAACTACAGTGATCAACGTTTTGGAGAAACGCAGTGACTCAGTGTGTTTGCGAGTTGGCGGCTGCAGAGCCTTGATGCATCCCAGGCTGAAAGTCAACAGAAATTGCCCCTTGTGTCGCAGGGATCTGGCGCTGGCCTCAGCACCCCGCCATCATGCATTTTCCTCACAGTGCCGCCGGCTCCCAGCCCGAGAAACCACAAAGTCCCAAAGGTGGTTGCCTTGCCGATAAGCTGGCCGTCACAAAACAAGCGATCTGTATCTTGACCTCAACCCAGAGCACACTTCTCTCATCAATCCCATCCTGCAGTATCCGATGGAAAGCTGTACGTCGCAAAGTAAGTTTCCAGAAAACCATGCTCGCAGCTGCAGAGATGTCAGAGTTCAGTGGTGCCCTCGTGGGTAAAGCCGCGATGTCCGTTTCGCCAGTTTGCACCAAGCCACGGAATTGCTTAGGCCACCAGCCTGGAGAGTGGCAACTCAGACTCGGAAGAGGTCAGCCGAGTGTGCAGTACACTAGCCTAACCTCTGTATCCTGCAATGAACTTAACAGAGCCTTCACGTGC